ACGCAGAACAGGAAAGTCCGAGCCGAAGCTCTGCCTGAGCTGGAGACGAGCTGCGCGGATCCAGTCGATCAGCACCTCAGTGACATCACCCTTGCTGCGCAAGGGGAAGACTGTGGTGTAACGCGAGTAGTCGTCAACAACGAGCAGGAAGTAGCGCTCGTGACCCTGTCCACGGACGCGGGCTGGGCCCCACACGTCCATGTGAAGTGTCTGCAACGGGGCCTCTGTCGAAGGAAACTGGGAGGAGTGAGGGGCAGCACGCTGGCGCCCCTCGACACAGGGGACACAGGCAGGGCCAGGGCCCTGAGGAAGGGGAGGGAGGGACCGGGGGAGACCGGACACAAGAAGACGGGAGGCCATACCTCTGAGCCGAAGCAGAGAGGGGTGGCCAAGGCGGTGGTGCCAGAGGAGAGTCTCGTGAGACAGGAGACGACACGAACAGGGGGCAGACTCAGGACCAGACCTGGACGCCGCAGCAAACACCTGACCCGACGTAACTACCCTACCAGACTCAGCAACTGGAGGAGACGCAGTGGTCAGAGTGTACAGGCTCGACCATGGCTGACGGGTGAACGTAGCCAGGTGTCGGCCTGTGCCAGCCTCTGTACAGTGGGTCACTCGCTGACGTGCAGGAGTGAACTGGTGGACACCCGCATCCTGTAGGTCAGCACCACTCACCAGGTTCGTCGAGAACGAGGGGAGGTAGAGACCAGACAGGGTGCCAGAGGGAGCCGCCGGACACGGGAGGACTGTGGAGAAACGAGACAGGACCGGAACCCCAGAGGGGTCAGCCAGAGACACCGCAACCGGCCGACTAAGCGGCGTGAGTGTGGTGCGGTCCCGAAAGAAGGAGCGAGACGCCCCAGAGTCAAGAGTGAAGGTGAGGGAGGCCGAAGCCGACGCGGTACCTGAGAGAGCAGACTCACTAGTACCTGAGGACGCAGACACACCAGCACCTAGAGCAGCAGCGTCGTAAGCACCTAGGGCAGCAGCCTCACCAGTACCTAGAGCAGCAGTCTCAATGCCCGGATCGGGCTGGAAACACCGGTAACAGTCACCCTCATCACTAATAGACACAGCATACATGGCAGAGAGAATAGCATCAAAGTCCAGATCAAAGATGGCAACCCCCGCCCTAGACAGCTCGTCCCAGCGAGGGATCTCGGAGGCCTCCGGGAACTGGTGACGCCATGCGTCCGTCAGGCGGCCAAAGCAGCGCGGAGTGGGGTGCGCACCCCCACACTGCTCACCCGCACGGTCGCCGGTGCGCAGGACGTAGGTACACGGACCAAAACCCCCACCCCGCTGGCGTGCAGTGTACCACTCACGGAGCTGCTGAGGGGACAGGGTCGCACGACCACGCTGCTGCTGCTGGCGCGAGCCACCACCGGAGCCACTCCTCTGCAAAGACCCGCGACCAGCTCCACCGCCACCCCCACCGCCTCCACCGCCTCCGCTGCCTCCACTGCCGCCGCCGCCTCCACCGCCTTCTCCACCGCCGCCTCCTCCGCCACCTCCGCTACCACCGCCACCGCCGCCGCGGCCTCCGCCTCCACTGCCGCCACCGAACCCCCCACCCCCACCTCCACCTCCACCGCTACCCCCACTCCCCCCACTGCCTCCACCTCCACCTCCACCGCCCGCTCCTCCAGCTCCCTTGCCCCCCTTGCCCTTGCCAGGGCGGCGTCTCCCGCTAGGGGCAGACGCCGCACCGACCGACTCAAGACCAAGGAGGTCGGCCGAAGCAGCAGAGGCAACAGAGGGCAGCAGGGGGGAGGGAGAACACCCCTCAAAGATGGGGGTGCGCGGGTCACCTCGAGAGGCTCCTACAGCGACTATGCTCTTTTCTATCGCGAGGAGGGCCTTCTCGAGGAGGTCTACAGTGAGTGTGGTGGGACAGACTGAGAGAAAGTGGTCCCTGACTACTCGAAGGGAGTCAGGGAGGCGAGTGACTAGGAAGTACAGAGTGATGTACATGGGGGGGGGGTTCGCGGTGCAGAAGTCAGCAGGAAGTGCAGCGCGGTAGCGAGTGTCACTAGTGCGGAGGTGCGTAATGAGGTCAGCAACGGTGGGAAAAGAAGCAAGGTCAGGGAAGAGGTACGGCAGCATGAGACGGCTCAGTGCAGCAGTGGAAGGGGAGGAGTAGCGCGCGACTACAGCGGCGTACAAGGTCTGAGCACTCTTGTACTGACTAAAGTGCGCACGCTCGGAGGTAGGGAGGTGGCGACGCACAGCAAGACGTGCAGCAGCATCGCGCGTGGCCCACTGGGAGCGAACAGTGGCGTCAGCATCAGCAGCAGGGGCAGGGGAAGCGCCAGAGGTGAGGTCAAAGAGAGAGAGGCCGTCCGCCCTATCGCACTGTAAGAACAGCTGTAGGTCATCTACCCAGACCTCAAAGTCAATGGCCCGATCCTCAGCGTCAAAAGTGAGGACACTAGGGGTAGCCATGACAGCAGTAGACCAGCAGTGCAAGGAGTAGGGGAAGAGCACGCAGTGACAGAGGGTCTGTGCTCACCGGACAGGGCTGCTCGGGCGGCTCGGCTGCAGGGCGGCTCGGCCGCTGGGCGGCTCGGCGGCTGGGCGGCTCGGCAGCTGGGCGGCTCGGCGGCTGGGCGGTCGGCTGCACGGCGGCTCGGCTGGTGGGCGGCCGGGCGGCTCGGCTGCAGCGCGGCTCGGCGGCGGGGCGGCTCGGCTGCTCTGCTGCTGGGCGGCTCGGCTGCGCTGCTGTTGGGCGGCTCGGCTGGGCCGCTGACGTAGGGCGGCGGGGCCGCTGTAGAGGAGTGGCGGGGCCGCTGCAGAAGGACGGCGGGGCCGCTGGGTAGTGAGGCGGCGGGGCCGCGAAGACGGGCGGCGGGGCCGCTGCAGAGAAGCGGCGGGGCCGCAGTGAAGGGCGGCGGGGCCGCAACGAGAGAGGCGGCGGGGCCGCAGCGAGAGAAGCGGCGGGGCCGCGAAGTCGGGCGGCGGGGCCGCTGAGTAGGGCGGCGGGGCCGCAGTGAGAGGCGGCGGGGCCGGAGCGAGAGAGGCGGCGGGGCCGCGAAGACGGGCGGCGGGGCCGCTGAGACGGGTGGCGGGGCCGCAGTGAGTGGCGGCGGGGCCGCAGCGAGAGATGGCGGCGGGGCCGCGAAGACGGGCGGCGGGGCCGCAACGAGAGAGGCGGCGGGGCCGCAGAAAAGGGCGGCGACGGGCCGTAGGCGGCGCGAAGCCGCAGGTAAGGGCAGCGACGGGTCGGGGCGGCTCGAAGCCGCAGGTAGAGGCGGCGCGAAGCCGCGGGAAGGGCGGCGACGGGCCTGGGCGGTGCGAAGCCGCAGGTAGGGGCGGCGCGAAGCCGCCGGTGAGGGCGGCGCAAAGCCGCGGGTAAGGGCGGCGACGGGCCGGGAAAAGGGCGGCGCGCCGCAGCCGCTAGGGCGGCTCGACGCGACCGTAAGGGCGGCGCGACGGGCCGCTAGGTGCGACTCGACGGGCCGCTAAAAAAAAGGCAGGCGCGACTCGAGGCGCGCTTCGGTGGGCCCAAGGAACAGTCCCTAGGAGGGGACCTGCTCTGATTCCATGTGAAAATGAGAACGAGAATGAGTGGACTATGAAAAATGAAGTGAGTACAAATATGAAACCCTAATTGGTTGTACCCCCTATGGGATACCCCACTATAGCCTACACAACAGCATAAGCTATAATGTTCTGACATTTATCAGGGTAATTACCCTGATTTCAGGGTGATTTCAGGCTTTCCACTTCGTGGAGACTGAAATTTCAGAGTTAGTGAATTTCCAGCCCTGATCCAATCAGAGTAATAGTTTAGCTATCCCTGATTTTGAGTACAGTGTAACAGACTAGGCTGTTAGTGGACCCTGACTTAACAGAGTATCGACTGTGTGGACCCTGACTTATCGAGAGGAAGTTTCTCGGAAGTTTCCTTCCGATGACCCCGCCTTGGATTGATCGCAGTGATCCCCCCACATGTGCGTAATCCCCCCCCTTCCCGCTTTATCGAGACGAAGTTTCTTCGAAACTTCGTTCTGGTCGAAACTTCGAGACTTTATGGAGAGTGGGGATATTTTCCCCGACTTATCGAAAGGAAGTTTCTCGGAAGTTTCATTCCGATGACCCCGCCTTGGATTGATCGCAGTGATCCCCCCACATGTGCGTAATCGCCCCCCTTCCCGCTTTATCGAGACGAAGTTTCTTCGAAACTTCGTTCTGATCGAAACTTCGAGACTTTATGGAGAGTGGGGATATTTTCCCCGGTAACAAAGCGCGCGTTACTACTCTGATGTTCAGTTCTCGACCCTGAACAATCAGTGTTAACTACTTTACAAACCTGAGCAATCAGGGTACTGCTTTTCTGGAAAATGTGCACCCATAATAGAGGGGGAAAATTTTCCCCGGAATCAGGGAAGCTTAAAATGAAACGTCAGCCCTGGTCTCAGTGTTCCTGCGAAACAAGTCCCGAGGAACTAGGGTTCCTCCCAAAACGCTTGTCCTTCAGGCAGGTCCCAACACCAGAAAGAAAACGAGCTAAACGAATCCCTCTATATGCGGCTCCGTTATTATATATGAACCTGCACAGCTTACTAGTGTGTAACACTGGCTCTCGACTTATTTATTAAATGTAATGTATTACTCTCAACAATCCCTGCTCAATCATTCTGTATGAGTTCTCTATCTTCAATGTAAGGTTGGAAATACGGTAAGCCGAGTTTTGCAAGGATATTCCTGTACGTATGTGACAAGACTGCGTAACAATCGCCTACAATAGTTCTTGGGGAGTAGGAGTACAATACTAAAATACTACAGTTATTCTAAAGCTTCTGCAGTATTTGTGCTTAGGCTATCCAGAAGGCTTCAGCTAATTGGACGAAAGCGCTTACCGCTTCTAGCATTATACGCTTATTTAAACGCTCAACGCAGAACACGTTACAGGGTATATCCCACCATGGCAACCACACAAAACATTTTTCCCTCTGCTGCTTGGTTGTGCTACTGTTAAATGATTGAGTTTGGTGTCACTTGGGGTTGGTCTTGCCCTGCTGCTGCTGGAAGGCGGCGATGCGGCGGCGGGCGACAGCAGCAGCGGAGGAGCGGCGGTAGTCCTCTGCCTCCTCCTCCCACCGCGGCCGGTGCCGCTTCTCCTCTGACTTGTCCCACTCCATGGCCCTCCTCAGTGGCAGCGCCACCAGCACCACCTGCACGCATGCGGTGAGACATCGAGGCAGGTGGGGGATGCCAGTGGGGTGAGAGATGAGGGCAGGTGGGAGGAGATGCGGGTAGGGTGAGAGATGCAAGAAGGGTGAGAAATACGGGTAAGGGTGAAATGTGGGCAGGGTGAGAGATGATGGTGGGGTGAGAGATGATGGTGGGGTGAGAGATGATGGTGGGGTGAGAGATGATGGTGGGGTGAGAGATGATGGTGGGGTGAGAGACGCAGATGCGTGAGCTAGGATTGAAAGGAGTTGAAACGGCGGGAGGGCGGAATGCAAGGGGAGAAGAGAGGGGCACAAACGGGGGGTTGGGAAGGGAGGGGGGGAGGGAGGAGAGGAAGGGGTGCAAGTAGGGGGGGAGGGCGAGATGGAAGGGGGAAGGGTGGAGGGGGTGGGTGCAAGGGGGGGAGGGCGGGGTGCAAGGGGGGGAGGGCGGGGTGCAAGGGAGGGGGGAAGGGTGGGGCCCGTACCTGCAGGGCGAGGAGGAAGGGGATGAGCAGCTTGCCGGCGCGGTTGGGGTTGAAGCCCTTCGCCATGCGCTCGTCCACGCGCACCACCGGCTGCCGCCTCAGCGCCACCGCCACCATCGCCTCCACTAGACATGGGAACCATGCCCGCCCGTCCGGTAGGATCTGCACGCGATACATGGTGGCAGGATGATGGGCGATACGTTAATTCCGCACCCCTACATCGGTGAGAGGCCACACTGGCTCGTGTTTCATGTGCGATGCGAGGCTAAGTGTGCGGTGGCAATATGGAGCCCCTACGCGTGTGACGTGACGACACCCCTGTGGAGGCACGAGGAGCCGCGGAGCGACAGGAGACGAAGGGCTTGAGGGAACGGAGCAGACATGAGGTGCAGTCACGCAGTGTGCCTTACGATGCCACACATGCACGAGGTGCAGGGGGACGAGGCGAGGCGGGGCGAGGGCTCACCTTCTCCCCATCGTCGTTGGTTCGACAGCGCCCCTCCATGCTCTCCACTAGCGCCACTGGCACCTGCCATGCCATGCCATGCCATGCCATGCCACACCACGCCATGCCATGCCATGCCATGCCACACCACGCCATGCCATGCCATGCCATGCCAAGCCATGCCATTCCATGCTATGCCACGCGACAAATGTTACATGGTGACATGCACACAAAGGGCAAAAGACAAAGGCAATGGATATGAGTGCCATGTCATGCGGCTGCCAAGGCATTCGGGTAACTCTTCCAAGCATGCCTGCCTCTCCCACTGTGCCCCATGTGGCGCCCCTTCCACACCCCCCTCACTGCATGGTGCAATGCCCCGCCTGCTGCTGCACTCCCACGCCCCTCCCATTGCCCTCCCACTGCACGCCTCAACTCCCATTCTCATCCACCCGCCGCCCCCTCTCTCGTGCGCCTCTGCCTGCTGCCCCTCGCCCCCTCGCCACCTCGCCCCTCGCCCCGCGCCCTCACCTCGTCGTTCCTCCCCAGGCGGCCCTGCTTGCGAATCATCCCCAGCAGCGCATCGCTGCGAGCCGCCACGAAGTCGGGAAAGGGGCGCCCGTCGGACGGGGTAAGCTGCGCGCGCGTCAACACCACCACCGCGCGCTTCCAGATCTGATCGGCGTAGGGGAGGCACGCAGGGGGCGAGGGGACACGCAAGGGGGCGAGCAAGGGGGCGAGCAGGGGGGCGAGGGGGGGGGGGGGGTGATGCGGTGAAGCCCCAGCGAGCGAGGGGTATGCGTGGTCACTATGGCACGTGAGGAACGCGACTGAGCAGCAGCATTGGGATGAAAAGTGGGAGACAAATGCGACACGGCGGGCATGGGCGGATAGGGGGCGGGCATGGGCGGAAAGGGGGGGGCATGGGCGGAGGGGGCAAGGTGACTAGAGGGGAAGGGGGTGGCGAGGAGGGGAACCTGGTGTGCATGGAGGGGGAAGAGGGGGGAAAGGGGGAGGGAGGGGGCACCCACCTGGGGCCCGAAGGCGTGGGAGATGCCCTGAGCGACTAGCGAGTCGATGGTGTCCACTCGGTACGCGTCCAGCCGCTCCACATAGAGCAGCACGTCCACGGTGCGCCCCACCAACGCACTAGCGTGGGGAAGGGGGGTGTGGGGTGGTGGGGGGGGTGGCATTGAAAGCACGAAGGGCGTCCAGCCGCTCCACGTACAGCAGCACGTCCACGCTGCGACCCACTAGCGCGCTGAGGTCGGGGGGATGTGGGGCATCGAAAGGAGCTCAGTATGGTGCAGTGCGGTACGCGTCCAGGCGGTCGACCTACAGCAGCACGTCCACGCTCCTCCCCACCAGCGCGCTGCTCGCATGGGGGAAGCACGGGCAGCGGGGAGAGGGGCGCGGAGGGCGGAGAGACGCAGCGTTGGAAGGAGCACCGTACGGTGCGGTGCGGTGCGCAGACGGATGATTATTGGGCAGATGATGGGGATGCGGTGCGCGCATATGATGATGTGCATGTAGCCGAACCGCGCTTCGCTCACGGCGGACTCTCCTCTCAGCACACCGCATGGCACGTGGTTTATGGCGCATGCACGCGGAGAGTCACTGCGGCGCGACTCACTGCAGGATAGCGTCGAGCGCGGCGCGGTTGACGGTGCCGGCGTCGACGAGCCCGGGCGTGTCGATGACGTGCAACGTGGCGCCGCCGTATTGGCGCACGGCCTCGCGCAGATGCGCGGACGCCTGGAAGCCCGACGTGGGGAAGAGGCGCTCCCCCAGCAGCGCGTTGAGCGTCGCGCTCTTGCCCACGCTGCCCTTCCCCACCGCCACCACCGTCACCGTCTCCTTGCCCTGCCACCCCGCTCGCACGCACGCACGCAACACACGCAGAAAGCAGCACACACGCACGCACGAACAGAGGGCAAGGCGCGGAGGGACGCGGGAGGAGACAGAGAGTGAGCGTCGCGTTTCGCACAAAGCAATTTGTGCAGTCGATTGGACTCCCCTTGCGCCAATGCCTCTAAGCTAAGCATCGATTCCAAGCAAATCCCACCACCACCGACCCTCCCGTCTCTGCCTAACCAATGCATGGCCAAGTCTACCGCTGCACGTCAACACGCCCCGTGCGCGAACGCGGCAACACCGAGCACGTCAACCGTTCGCTAATCGACGATGCCGCGGACGAGCGCGATGCACTCGGACGGCCTGACGGTCATGGCGGAGGACCTGTTGCTGCACAAGGTGCCTTTAGGGCACGCTCGCGTGTGACGGATGGCAGAGGCTCGGCGATGGCGCATCCCTTAGGGCCAGCCGCGGTCTACTGCCACTGCATTAGCTAACAACGCCCCACACACAACTGGTTCCCATAGAAAACATCGTCGCGTGAAAAAACCAAGTCAGCAGACCTCGACGACTCTGCTAGGCTGATGGAAGGAAACCCTAGGCGTGCCTGTTCAATAAGCCGGTCGATCGCCGAGGTGATGACGGACCGCGACACTTCCGGTTGTTGCTCCACCGCCGCCCACTCCTGCGGCTGTGCCGGCTGCGCTGCCATCGCACGTCGCTAACGGCACAGCTTCGCTTGAGTGACGACGATCCTCGCAGGTGGAGAAGCGTAACGAGCGGATCGCAATGGAGAGCGGAGCGAAAGCGCGCTGTGACTGCGGGCGGAGCTGAAGGAATAACTAGCGTGATAATAGGTGAGGAGGGGAGAGAAGTAAACCCTAGACCGCTGACCCGTCGTTGATGTGGATGTGCTCGTTGACTCGCTGAAGGATGAATTAGGGCGTGCCCAGAAAATACGTCCGAATGCGGTTGAAAAAGGCTTGGTATGTTCTAGGGCGTTCTATTTTAGATTACAATGGTTGTAGGGTATTGTGCAGAAGAGTTATAAGAAGAGTTGTGCAGAATGCAATATCGTAGAAGTGATTGTTGGAATAACATAAATGTTACAGTAACATTCCCGAAGGCTCTCCACTTGCGCGTCACTCCATAACGAAGCTACACGCCTGTATCATTATCGCAATAGCTCATATAGAGCATGCGGAAGGTCGAGGGTCACCCGAATGTCAACAGCCGAAGACAGTCAACGGTCATGACCCTTGACTGCCCAGTAACCGCACTTGTGTCAAGAATGAAAGTGTTGGTTTCACTAAGGTTGGTTGGGGTACATAAACCTAACCCTAATAGTTGTACCCTCTATAACATATATCACTAAGACTACAACATTTGACACACCCCCATAATCTAAGTGAGGGGTGTCAAGCAAAACCAAAAGTGTACGGTCACAAGACTAGTCACAAAGAAACAAAGCTCAGGGTGGATCACAACGTCACCACACACTCCGAGCACAAGCAAAAGAGCCACAAGGCTAGTTCAAGAGTTCACTGAGGTATATGTAAAGTGTATAAACAAAGCAAGGAGAGAACTCAAGACTCTGCAAAGCGAGAACCTGTGTCAACGAGACCTAACCGCACACAACACCTTTGGTGGTCACAAGGCGGCAGGGCCTTGGTGAAGATGTCTGCAGTGTTGGCCACGGACTCAACAAAGTCGAAACGAGCCTGTCCACGCCTCTGCAACTCTCGCAGAAGAAAGTACCTGACGTTAATGTGCTTCACTCTGCTCTCCAGTCACGGCTCTCGACAGAGGAGAATCGTTGCCTTGTTATCAGTGAGCAAGAACGTCAGCCAGCGCAACTCCTGTGCAGCCATAGCTCCAGCGTAGATCTCGGCCTCAGCAGTAGAGGTCGAGACCGAGGAGGAACGTGTGGACCTCCACGAAACAGCTCCAGAGCCCAGGCTGAAACAGTAACCCTGAGTAGACCTGTGCATCTCGGCGTCGTCAGCGTAAGAAGAGTCACAGTGACCAGTAAGCACGACGTCCTGTCTCCCTCCAAGAACCAGCCCCATGCCTGATGTCATCGCTAGGTACTTCCCCACCCTCACAGCAGCTGTCCAGTGAACTGGACGGTGTCTCCCTGGCGCAACAAAGCGAGCAAGGATGCTGAGAGGGAACGCGAGGTCCGGGCGAGTACAAGTCATCAGGTACATGAGGCAGCCCACAAGCTCTGCGTAAGGACCACTAGGCTCGAACGGCTCGTCAGGAAAGGGTCCGGTGAGTCTGTGGTCAACGGCAAGAGGTGTGCGCTGTACAGTAGAGTGCTGAAGCTCGAACTGCGGAAGGACCTGCTGCACCATATGTGACTGTGAGAGTATAATGGTGCGAGCAGCTCTGTCCCTGGTGATCTGCAGGCCAAGGTAGTGGCGCAGCTCACCAAGGTCAGTGCAAGTCTGTCTCTTCTGCAGTTCGAGCTTCACGTCAGCCAAAGCAACTGTGTCAGCAGTGGCGAAAACCAGGTCGTCGACGTAGACCAGTACAAAGAACAGTGTAGAGCCACTACGAACGAACAGCGACGGGTCGGCAGAAGAAGGCTGGAAACCAAGGTCAGAAAGGGTAGAGCGAAGGGTGTCGTGCCACGAGGAGCCTGACGGAGACCGTAGACCGGTCGCCTAAGCCTCCACTAGGTCCCAGGAGGGAAAGTGCCAGTGAAGGCAGAGGGACGACGTAACCAGACCTCCTCGTGTAGGCTACCCTGAAGGAAAGCAGTGGAGAAGTCAAGAGAGTGTAACTCGTAGTCTCTTTGTGCTGCTATGTGCAGTAACACCCGAAGAGTGGTCATCTTTGGGGTAGGCGCGAAGGTCTGAAAGAAGTCAACTCCCTCACACTGACTGAAACCTTTGGCCACATAGCGCGCCTTGAAGACCGAAGGACACCCTGGTGGCCGCTTCACCCTGAAGATCCACATGCCATCAACTACGTTCGCCCCAAGGGGGGGAACCTCGTCGACGTAGGTGCCTGCGGATCTGTAGGAGGCCATCTCTGAGTCCATTGCAGCTCTCCACTGAGAGGCCCAAGGCCCTGACATAGCCTCAGCAAGTGCGAGGAGTCGGTATGTCAAGGGCGCCGGGGTCTCCCTCAGGGGCGAGCAGCATGGCACAGAGATGAGGGGAAGCGGTTGCCAGGAACTCTAGCTCAAACTGCCTGTCCTCTAGGGCGTCACAGCCAAGGGCAGACTCACCCCCAATGGCCAGAGGACTGGTAGGAGGAGCAGCCACAAGACTGGTGGCATAGTCAAGGCAGCGAGTAGAGGCAAACTCAGTGACTGGGGCAGTAAGAGCGGAGACAAAGGACAGAGAAGCACGTGGGTCGGTAACAAGAGAGGCGAGAACACGAGAGAGAACAGGACAGTACGTGCGGTAGTAGTCTGTGACAGGAGTAGAGAGGGAAGCAGTGAGAGCCGACTCAGGAGGAGAAGGAAGTACAGAAGGAGACAAACGAGGCGGACTAGAACAAAACAGGGCAGTACGAAGGTCAGTGAAGGGAATAGGGGACGAGGGACGAGCACGAGGAGAGCGACACGAAGGCCAAGTGTGAGAAAGAGGAGGGGACAACGGGAGCAGAGGAGGAGGGGTCAGGAGGAGGAAGCGGAGGACCAGAGACGGGAGGAGAGGGGGGGGAGGGAGGAGAAGGAGAGGGGAGACCGAGGGTCCGAAGACCAGAGACAGGAGGAGGAGGTGGCTGCTGCTGCTGCTGGTGCGGCTGCTGGTGCGGCTACTCCTGCTCCGGGTGTTGCTGCTGCTACTGCTGCTGCTGCAGCTGCTGCTGGTGCTGCTCCTCCAGCCGCTGTAGCTCCAGCTGCTGCCGCTCCAACTCTCTCTCCTCTCACTCCAATTTCAGCTGCTTCCCACGGGCACGGCGAACACGGGCCTGGTGCTGGGTCGGGTTGGGGTGGGGGGGAGGAGTAGTGTCCGGAGCGGTGGTAGCCCCAGGACCACTCTCCAAAGAACCAGTCGCACCACCCCCAGAGCTAGCACCACCATAAGTAACAGGGTCCGTCCCAGGCTCTCCAGGTCCAGCAAAGGGCGCACCCCCATTCGTAGCACCCCCAGGGACAGCTCCACTAACACCAGCTCCTCGAAGACTAGAGTCTCGTGCAGTCACGGGCTCAGCTCCAACTCCAGCACCCCCAGAACCAGGACCTCGCACAGGTACGCTCTCTGCTCCAACTCCAGCACCTCTAGAGCTAGCACCTCTAGGGTCCTCGCCACGAAAACCGGCTCCCGCAGGGTCTGCTGTAGGTTGGGAGGAGGACTGCGGGGAAGTAGGTTGCACTTAAGGGGCTACCGAGGGGGGAGGGGTAGCGTGGGACACACCTGACGGGGCAGGAACAGGGGGGGGGAGGCTGTACCAGGGGAGCACGAGGGAAAGCTGAAGTCAGGAAGAGAGGGGCAGGAGGAACTGGGAGACCTCGACAGGGGTACCTAGCGTAGTAGGGGACGGACTCGTCGAAACGGACATCACGAGAGTCAAAGAACCGGTGAAGGGGAGGGTGGTAAAAGGTGTAGTCAGACGAGTCCCCAGGGAAACCAAGGAACACGCAGGAAACAGCACGAGGCGAGATCTTGTCCGCGGAGGTGTCGCGAACAAGTGCCAAGCAACCCCAGACACGAAAACGAGACGCAGCACCAGGGGACCCGGTCCAAAGACTGGTCGATGAAACCTCTGGCCGAGAGACACGTGGCCAAAGGTTCAGCTGGTGAGCGGCGTACCAAACCGCGTAGGGCCTTAGAAAATGGGGGGCACGGGCGTGAGTCATGGAGGTGCGGGCGATCTCCATGACCAAGCCTATGCAGCGCTCAGCAACCCCATTCTGCTGTGGGGATTCTGGAAGCGTCCAGGACTGATGGATGCCCTGCTCACGACAGAATCCAGCGAGAATGCCAGAGCGAAACTCACCCCCGCGGTCGGAGTGAAGGCAGCAAAGCGTCCTCCGGAACAGCTCCTGGACTAGTGTCTACACAAGTACCTACACTAGCAACAGGCACCTCAACAAGACTAGCACCTAAGCTAACAACACTCGAGTAAACAGAGTCAGAAGCACTAGAGTCAACAACAGCATACATAGCATGAGGAGTTCCGAAGAGATCAACCAACTGAGAAGCAGACATGCCCCACAGAGCAGGGCCGTACGTCTGAACAAGGGGAAGCCAGTCAGGGGCAGGGCCGTCAACGCAGTAGGCCAATCGAGCCGTGTTAGTAAGCTGAGCAAAGCACTGACCCAGTGGGTGGCTGCGGCCACAAGGCTGGCTACGGCGGGCACCTGTCAGAACGTGATAGGTGTAGGGAGGGTGGACGACACCGCACTGCAGTTGACACTGTCTTGACCCCTGCCCCGAAACCTGCTGCTGCCGCTGCTGCTAATGTGGCTGCTGCGAGGGGTGGGGCTGCTGCTGCTGCTATTGTCGAGTTAGGTACCACGCCGCTATTCCACCCCCTGCGGCTGGCAGACCAGTAGGTGGCTGACGAACCCGGGAATCACCTCCACCAGCTGCAGCAGGGGAGTCACCGGCCGTTGCACGAGGCGCTCCTCCAGCGCCTGCACTCCCGCCGCCGCCGCTCGCCACGTCACCCCCACCGCCTCTGCCGCCTCCGCCCGCACCCTGACCGCCCCTCCTGCCACTCCTACCCCGAGACTGCGAAGAGGTCGTAACA